GGCCGGAGAGAGCTAGCTCACAATCCCCCTCCCTCCTCCCTTCCCCCCCTTCCTCTCTAGCTCACAATTCCCCTCCCTCCCTCCCTCCCTCCTGGAACTTCCTTCATTCCAAGCTCACAATCCCCCTCCCTCCCTCCCTCCCTCCTGGACCACCATTCCTCTCTTCTCCTCCTGCTGCTGCTCTTCTTCTTCTTCTTCTTCTTCTTCTTCTTCTTCTTCTTCTTCTTTAATGAAACCTTAGCACTGCAACTTTGGCTAAGCCTTCTTCTTCTTCTTCTTCTTCTTCTTCTTCTTCTTCTTCTTCTTCTTCTTCTTCTTCTTCTTGAGTAAAGACATAGTACTGTGACCCTGGGCTATTCCTATTGCCCAGGTGTGTTTTACGACAGGAACTTGCAGAAACACAGAAAAAGAAAAAACTCGAGAGTTTCCAGACCCGGAATACAAGATTTGGCAGGGACTATATTAAACTTCACTTTGTTAGATTTAAACGACCAGGACCTCAAGCTACTTGCAGACCGACCCTCAGGCGACCGGTATGGCGAGCCTGCCGAGCCTCGAGGTACTGGTAGGAGGACAGGTCCAGCCTGGAGGAACCAGTAGCCAACAAACAAAAGAAGAAGAAGAAGAAGACGAAAAAAGCAACAACCCTGGGGACGCGATTGCAGTTGTATACATTCTGAGGACTGCTGGTGTGAGCATGCACTCAAAGAGGGCGTGTCATCCCCGTCGCATGAAAATCGGAATCCTGAAAGCGAAAGAAAGAAAAAAAAAACGAAATGAAAAAAAAAAACACAGACCCCCTTTCGCCCTCTTTGCAGATGGATACAGAGTTGGAAGTGCCAGTGCCACTAAGCCCTCAAAGATTCTGTTCGAGAAAATCACGAAACCTCCCTGCCAGCCGGGCAGGGAATTCTAGAAAAGGAAAAAAAAATAAAAATTCAAAAAAAAAAAAAAAAAAAGAAGAAAATTACTTCCTGCATCATCCCCACATTATGGTTGCATTCATTGTAGAAAGGAGCAACTTGTAGCATGGCCGCAGTCACTGTCTTTTCGTATGTGAAGTATGTTTTTTTTTGTTTTTGTTTTTTCTTTCCCTTTTCGGACTGAAAAGCAGCAACCGATTGCTTCGGACTGAAAAGCCGCAACCGATTGCTGAGTGGCCCGACCCCCGTACCTCGTGGCCGTTAATGCGAGCGTGCCACAAAAAAATAGCTGGCCGAGGTACTGGTGGTTTAAGGAGGAGCACAGCGGAATACAGGAAATACTACAATCCAGTGGGATGGTTCTGACGCCTGAGAAGCTGATAAGAAGCAGAGAGTAGAGTGGAAGTTTTCCTTTTTCCTTTCTTTCTTTTTTCTTTAACGGAAGCATAAACTTCCTATGGTAAGAAAGCAATCAATGCCGCTGTCTCAGGATTGATCCTCCCTTGCGCACAACAAAGAGGAACATTGAGTGAGCACTTGATGTAAGCGACGCTGGACGAGAGATGGTTAACAGAGCCCTAAGTGTGCTGGACCTGGTTTCTGGCTACCTCATTAGAAGGAAGGGGAAAAAAAGGAGATTGAATGTAATAAATGACAAATGTTTTTCGCCATTCTGGCTGAGAGATCCATAGTCGTTCAATCTTACCGGAGAGATTGCACTAACCAATAGACGATTCTCGTTATTCTGGCTTAAATCAATAGCAAGCACATGTACGCATACATTGAGAAATGGTCCATTAAACAAATAATAATCATAAAATATAAAATAATAATAATAATAACAAATAATAATAATAAACAACTCACTTATCCACATTCTCGAACCAACATTGTTTTCGGCTACCGAAGACTAGCGCTCTACCGCCATGCCTGACACCGCTAAAGTTTCGCTTCCCTTCTCTCTCTCTCTCTCTCTCTCTCTCTCTCTCTCTCTCTCTGCCTCACAAAGCTCTTTTCTTTTTTCTTTTTTTTTTGGAGCAACACTGGCCTTGGTCTGCTAGAGGGAGTGATATAAGCATCTTCTTCTAGCAGACTCGCTGCGCGCTCCCGTCTATTGGTGGGGAGCAGCACCTCTCCGCCTCAGGAAGTAATTTTCCCAAATTCTCTACTTTATCCCTTCTCCAGTACCTGTCCCTTTTTCAGCTCTTCACTCTTCCTTGTACCATACCACATCCCACCCTATTCTTCAACAGACAAAGACAGAAACTAAGAACACAGCTTGAAAGAATGGGAAAAAAAAGAAGGAAAAAAAAGGCAATGCAATAGACAGACGTCAGATCATCAGATACATCACGTGTCCGTCAGCCCATGCACCCAAAAAAAAAAAAAAAAAAAAAAAAAAATCCTTACCTCAGTAACCTCACCTAATTCCACATGTTTCTCCTTCAACCGCCACACTACTATTACCGGGCAAAGTCTAGAATTGAGGATGTGACATTCCAACGACTGCCGATGGACAGTGCTACAAGACCAAAATGGATGGCGGCATGAGTCAGAAGGAGGAAAAAAAACAAAGAAGCGCCACCGTGGTGCTTCGTTTTTTGGGCGCACTCGGGGAATCTGCCTCGGTAACAAGAGGCTCAGAGGCAGTGGTGATTTCACGTTGAGAAACAAGTGCATCCTTTTTCTTTTCTCCTTTCTTTCCGTTTTTCACCCTTTTCTTCCCTGTTTTTTTGGCAGATACTGTGCTATTCTGAATGTGGGGAAGTAGCGGCTAAGTGGATCCTCACATGTCCTCCTCCGTGCAAGCACGGACTCGAACCGGCAACCTCGGTCTCAAGAGCCAAGTATCTTAACCACTACAGCCAGGACACGACGGTGCTCAAAAGTGGTATTAGATGGGAGGTGCAGCGACTGGCAAAATGCTCAGTCTTTGCATTAGCCGCCCCCCCTCACCCCCCCACGCTTGCAGCCCCACCCTACTCCCTGACCACCGCCGATTACTGCGGGGGACAACATGGATCCCCTTAATTGTGAGAGGTATCTATGCTTTCAGGAGTCCCCTGTATAGGCTTAGGAGTTAAGACTCAAGGAGTAGTGGAAGGTAGAGAGTGAAAGGTGAAATTGAGAGAAGAATATAGCTTAATTATAAGTTATAACACAAAAAAAAGGAGATTTTGCAATCTCTGAGAGGGTGATAAAATTCACGAGGACAGGGCTGCAAAGACATATCCACACTTCTCAGACTCCTAAGGCTTGTTCCAGACCACTGGTAGATAGTAGATACTCCAAAGCCTAAAGGCTAAGGCAAACATCATCATATCATTTACGGAAGCGAGAGTAAAGTTCTCCTACACTGCTCCATTTCTTTCGGCTTCATATACTGCGCGAATAGTCGAATACGGACCTCGTGAGATTCCAGTCGGAAGGGGGAGTGGGTTCAACTCCCACTAAAAAGAAGAAGAAAAAGTGAATACTGACCTTGTGACTAATAATATACAGCCAAAATCTTCGTGGTATGTTCAGATCGACCGGTGGCGAGCCTCCGATCTTCCTCTTCTGCTTCACAATCACAACAGAGTTTAAGTTAACTCACAGTCTGCCTGCAGTCTTTTTTTTTTTTTTTTTTTTTTAAATTTTAAAATGGAACAGGTCCTTATGGCCCTGGCTCCATTTCCATTCCGGGGAGCGTCAGTCCGGTTCTTAATCTGCCTGCAGATTTTAAGGATTGTGAAAAAGGGAAAAGAAGGGGAAAAAGCAGAGAAAGGAAACAATCTATGTTACGAACTGGGTGGCCCAGGACCCCGGGGGTTAGCCCGGGTCCCAACTGGAAGGGGCCGGGCGGACAAGGACCAAGCAGTCTCAGCGCAAAACTCTGAAAAACGATGGTAAACAAAAACTTTGAAAAAAATCCAAAAGATCGTGTGATCGACGATCGTGCAAAATGATAGGACAAACAACTTTTCACTCAGGGCCATCTCCAAATTCATCCTTTTTCAAGATAAGTACTTCCTTCACCATCTTCTTCCGTTCTTCATCTTCCAAGGCACGAGGGTGGGAGTGGGTTGAGCCGAAGCAACCCCCCTTTGCATAGGCGGCTCGAGCCACAAAGATAGGCTGACTTTCTTCTCTGTCTAATCCCCCCCGTTGCTTGTTCCAAAAAGCACATGCTTGCCGGTGATAAGCAACCGGACTGATGCCCCCCAGAATAGAAGGGGCTGTGTTTTTGAGAAAAACAAAAAGGAGAAAATAATAAAAATATTGAAATAAACCATCTAAAAACAAAAACCCATCTACGACTGGTGGTGTTCACAAGAGGTTCTTGCTGCTCTTCAACCAGTTTGCCTAAATGGGTCTGCAAATTGTTCTAAGACTGAACCTGGACTGATCCAAGTTAGAGATCCACACCTGTGCGGCCTGCTTCTGTGTACCCAAAATGGCGCAAACCTCCGTAGCTTTCTGCTGTGGCACAAAGTCGACAAGCAGAGTTCCTGCACAAACATCCAATAACTGGCAAGTCAAGGAATATTACTTACAAGAAGGGCCCGTGAACGACGTGCAGCTTCGTCTGCGTCAGAAAGCAGTATTGTGCATGATCAAGAAGTGGGACAAAAAGAACGGGTGGGCGGTGAATAGGGTAATAGCGTAGGAAGAAAAGGCATGGAAGAGGAGCTCTTTACGCCCTATAGGCAGGCGCGACTACGCCCGCACCAGCTGGCCGGCCAGCCAGCCACTGAGCCACCCAGCCGGCCCGCCAAAAGGATGGTCAACCTTTTTGGGGGGGGACTTATTATTATTAAGTAAAAATAATAATAGGACCATTCCCAGCAGGCTTTTTTTCTTCCAACTTCAAAAAGAAAGGACCATTTACTATTTTCTGTTAATTGTTGTTCTTTTCTTCTTCATTTTCGTTTTTTAAAGTTTTGTTTCTCCTTGTAGATTGTTTTTTTTCCAGGCGCCTGGGCACACAACTCGTGCATGGATACATGCCCGGATGCCTGGCCGGGCATGACCCCCGGATGGGGTTCTGTTCAAAGTTCAAACCCGTTTATCCCCTTTAAAGCGAATTCATACCTCCCTTTCCCCCCTTTGACGACCAACACTCAAAAAAAGAAGAGAGCATGGATTTGGACTCTTCTGGGTGTGCACGGGAAACCGCCACTGCGCGCCCCCCCCCCCCCCCCCAAAAAAAAAAAAAGAGACCCGACGTTTTCTCATGCACAAGTAACCCGGGCGGCAGACCCCCATGGGCATGATGCCCAGCTGCCTGGCCAGCAAGACAAACTCCCTGGCTTTGTTTCCTTTTTTTCCCTTTTGTCTTTTTTCTTAGACGAAATGGGCGCAGTGCTTCACCTTTCCAACTACACAACTGGCAAAAAAAAAAAAATTGAGACAGGGATGCAGTCTACCTCAGAGGTTAACTCATTGGTCAGTTGGTACCTCAAGATCTCAATGGTTAACTCATCGGTCAGTCGGCACCTCAAGATCTGTGCCTGGGTTCAAACCCCAGCTCCAGCCACCAGTCAGTTGGCAGCTCAAGATCTACGTCCAGGTTCAAACACGGACTCCAACAATTGTGTGTGCATGCGCACGCATGTGTGTGTGTGTGTGTGTCCCACTGCCACACAACCGTCTGCCGACACGCGCATCTGTTCTTGGGGAAAAACAAAAAACAAGAAAGTTGAAGAAACCCATTGTGGCATGAAAACCCGGAACAGATCCGCGCGCATCGCCATGATGCAGGAACCCCCAAAACAAACATGCTCCCCATCAGGTCTTGTCACCGTCTTGAACGCAAGACTACCATCGCAACAAAAACAAAATGAAAGGCAGGCAACAATCAATGCCTCAAAAAGCGCTGCCGATCTGATATCACTATCAGACACCTCCCGGGCTCCGATATTGTCGGCGGCAATTAAAATTTAAAACAAAACAAAACAACACCAGGTGTCCACAGAACCCGACGCCCCTCCTGATTGCCTGCCGACACTTCCAAAGGGCCGCCGGGGTGACGGGTTTGCAAACCGGGGAAGTTAGCCCAGGAAACTTATGTTTACGACCACCAATCGCAAAATTGGCAGGTCATGAACCCCCGTTGGCTCAGCGCGTATAGAAGCACCCACGGCCGATAAGCTTTAATACGTTTGCAATTTTGCGTCGATAGGTGAAGCTCAGGGAATGCCATGACCTCATCCAGAGTCAGTGCGAAGCAATATTAGGCAATCTCCTGCTAATTTGCTAAAGCAAAATTTGCCGTCTTGAACGTCTTCTTTTTTTTTTTTTTTTTTTTTTTTTGTGGACATCCGTTAAAATTGGAACAATACACAGAAGATTAACGTGGCCCCTGCGCAACGATGACACGCATAAATCAAGAAGTGGTGCACCTTTCTTTTTTTTTTTTCTTTTTTTTTTTTTAAACAATTTGGAGTGTTCTCTTTTCCTTTTTTTTCTTTTATTCTACATGCTTTTTCCTTCCTTTTTTTTTTTTTAACTGTTGCCTGAAGCTCGAAGAGAGAGTTCAGACGTCCAAGTGCAAAGTTGCACAACTGGAATAGTTGTTTTAACTTTTAAGAGGATATAATAAGAACACGTGCAGTCACTGGATGATAGATAACCTGTGACATGCATCCTCTGAATATTTCTGTCAAGTTTGATGATATAATCAATTCAAGCCTTCTTACTGACTTGCAGTTGGCAGTGAGGAATACATAGCAGCACTTTGTGTGATCGAGGGAAAGAGAAAAACACAGCAGAGAAATGGAACATGTAGCAACAAGTCATGCACTCGATCTCCTTGAGTAGAGATGTAACAAACAGAATATGTAAACGTACTACTAAAGGTTATCCATCACTTATTCCAGATATAAACCTTTATCCATTACTCGTTCGGAGTCGTTCCAGATATAAACAGTCAGTCAGCCAGCTGGTCAGCTCGTTGGTCAGCCAGCCCTTTTTTCAAATGGTACGTCAGCTGGTCCGTCAGTCAGTGTCAGTCGGTCAGTCAGTCAGCCAGTCGGTCGTTCAGTTGGTCAGTCAGTCTGTCAGCCAGCCAGTCAGTCAACGAGCCAGACAGGTGGGCAGGGAGGCAGGCAGGTAGGCAGCCAGTCAGCCAGTCTATTAAAATGCAATCCTGAGTTGCGGTGCGAAGTTGCGAACGGCAGGTTAAGAAATGCCCTCACCTGTGTAATTTGTCTGGAATAGGTCCCTGGCTGCCCATGCAGAGAGTCGCAAAATGGCTGGTCCGCTGAGACCCCAATGGGTGATGAGCAATGGCCCCTCCTGAGAGAGAACCAAAAAGGCAACAGCGCGAAGTGGGGCAACACAGAGCAATTATCAATGTCCTATTCAGTATTCACTAACCTACCCCTGTCCAAGATGCACAAACACAGCACAGCATGGAAAACAGAGTTCGCACACGGACACAGACAAGCATACAGCTACATGCATCAGCAGCAGGACACACATGCTCGGAAAACACAGCAAAGGAGACTCCGACACGGAAATCTCAGCAAAACAAAAATCGAAGGACAGCAACTTCCTCAGGAAACTGCAGATTTTTCGGGCTGCAACTGTGCAGATCGTTGCAAAAGTAAGGAGTGTGGACCAGAGATGACAGCACATGGAATGAACAGCGCACGGAAGGATAAATCGAGACTCAGGAGTCGATCTGTCCTTGACGACAGAGGGGCAACACATGATGGAGATGTGATGTGTGATGGATGACATGGAAGACCTCGTTGAGAATTCTCAGCCCAACAGTTCCATTTATGGCTGGGATGAACTGCGCCCTCAAAACACATCCCGCCGTTCCCGGCAAATAACACATCTTGGTTGTGGGCAATAGTGAAAGAAACGACGAGTATTCGCACAGGAGCATGCATTCCTAATAACATCTGTGGCCGAAAAATGGGCATGTGAAGTCCGGGAATGGCGGGAAAATCCACATCTAGGCAGGGAAAATCCAGACCATGCTGAAAGCCAATTGCAAGGAATACAGAATCTTCAGATGCTGTATAAAGAGGAGAGATACCAACAGGCCTACCGCCTTCACCCGAATAGAACGCCCGGTCATTATCGCTGCATCTGGGCTTTAAAATGTCCCAAATACAGCTATAATGACAGGGCGTTATATTCGGGTGAAGACGGTAGCTCAGTTGGTACACCCTACACGAACTGTTGAAATATGAATCAGACCCGAGTTCGAATCCAGATACAATCAGATGACCAGAACAAAATCATTCTGACGTACCTCGGGCCGGTCAGTTATCAATGATGATATCTCAAGCCCATCGCCCTTTGGAAGAAAAAAAAAAAAAGGGATGTCGGAAGACACACAGATAGGCATTAGTAGCCGCCAGACCACTGAGACTGGGGAGGTCCTTCAGAGAATTAGAGGAATGGGGATCACAGAGATAGATATATTCCTCATCGTTGTGAACAAGCCTAGGTGCTTGAAACTGGTCAACCAACAATTTGTGAGTAAGTGGGGCGTTCAGAATGGTCTGGGCTGTGTACACTGCGGCGATTTGCGGACCACCCATGTGTTCTACGCCCCATGGGGCAATTTGGAAGTAAGCCAAGTGAAGCTGCTCCATGTTACATGCACAGATATGTGATGTTTGTAATAACCGAGGAACTGCAGTGTGATAAAAAGGACTGAAATGGACAATGCGGTGAGAGTAGAATCTCGACAGACAATGTGCATTCTCATACATACAAAAGTGCTGAATAGCGCAGGGAAGACTTAGATACAAAGACTGACCTGACAAGGACTGACCTCACACACGTAGTACAAGTAGCGAAGCAGAATGCTAGAATACCAATCACGAGCCCAATCAATGTTTGAACTCAGACTAAACATGCATCGTATCCCTCACCAGGTGTGAAGGAGTCTGGCGCTGCACACAGGGGGAAAGCGCCAGGTCCAGACATACACAGACGAAGAGGTAAGGACCAGACGAAAGGAGGGGGGGGAGAGATGGGAGTGTCGTTAACACCAAGTCTTGGTCACCAATCCCAAATAACCACTCGTTGCCATGTCTGAAGTCCCCAAAAGTCGAGTCTGGATCCGATATCACCAACCCCGGTATCTCTTCTCTCGCAGTCTGCAAATGCAGTGAAGTCAGGSGTTGAGAGGGAGAGGAGGAGATGGTGGACTGAGAAGAAGAGGAAGAAGAACYCTCTCTCTCTCACTGTTACGAACCAGGTACTAACCTGTGATGTGGCGCTGTGCTGCAGGTACCTCGAAGACGAAGCTGGAGCAACGGCGCTGCAGGTAGGTACTCCTGGCCTCCGCCCAAGCTCTCTCTCTCTCTCTCTACCACTATCCTAGCTATGGCGCCCAGCGCTGGAGACTACAGCTACCTACTGCGCCCAGCGCTGAAGACTACAAGATAACGCTACTACTACTATAATGCAGCGCTCCCTCCAGAGTGCTGCTCCCGAATCCTGAAGACTACAACTGCCCAACTGCCTTTTTCCTGCAGAGCGGGCCAGTCCTTTATAGTGCTGGCCCGTGCCGGAGGCTGGCCGTGCCAATGCCCTATGCGTAGGAGGCCGCTCTTGCCAATGCCTCCCTGGCCTAGACCCTGCGGAAGCTTCCAGGCAAGAGCCTGGAAGTTTCCCTGTAGGGAAACAGGCTGGGGCCTGTAGGCCCTGTCAGAAGGAAGCTTCCAGGCAAGAGCCTGGAAGTTTCCCTGTAGGGAAACAGGTTGGGGCCTGTACAGCATGTAACACCCATGGCTCTATGGCTCCAAGCGCAGGAGGTTCGGGACTGCATCCTGAGCTGGGACTGTGGCAAAAGAGGGGTGGAACAGTAGGAACAGCAGAGTTTGTGTTTGCAAATGAGACCTTGTAGGAGATTCACGCAGCAAGGGGGGACACAGTCGTCTGCACCAAAGCACACGGCGAGAGGAGAGAGGGGTCGATTGAGCAAGGGTTTGAGATGGACGAGACGAGCAGCTCTGCACAGGGTTTGAGCAGGGTTTGAGCAAGGGTTTGCGAGCGACCGGGGTCGACAGGCCACCAGAGGAAATTATGGGGGTAACGGCAATGGTGCAAGCAGCATAGACAAGCCCAGGTGTGTTGCCGGCAGAGGAGACCGGAGGGGTACCACCAGCAGAGGAAGCAACAGGCATATATCACCAGAGGACCGTGAGCAAGCCGATGCAAGATGACAACACTGTTGGGGGAATGAAGAAAGAGGGATAATGGAGGGGACCACCATTGCCTGTGTCGGAAGACTCGGACCACTCAGAAAAAAAAGTGTCAAATGACTCAAATACATGCGAGCGATACCAGCGTTGGCGAGCGCCCACGTGGAAACAACTCCACATTGCTTAGCAAGAGTCCATCGAGGATGCACATGCGGGAGTATGCAGTGAGTTAAGTGTTGTTGGGTGCAGTTTGCAAATCCTGCCGGTCGTTACGGGTTTGTTCAAATCTGGTCAGTTGGCAAGTGAACAAATCAGCACGTTGACGAAGAGATGTTGGAGAACAAATGACGGGGAGGTGCCGAGCAGCCACTGTATGTATCCAAGACCCTCATGTGAACCCAAGCCATCAGAAAAGAACCCATATGAGTTCCACAAGTCCAACGTACGTAGATGTATGTGCTTGGAGTGATATTGTTCAAGTACAGTGCATCATACAGTTGCCTTTTACTGCTTGTATGGACAAGCATGCCATGTTGCCATTGTCACACAGAGAACAATCAAGGTCATTATGTTCACAACAACAGTTTTGCAACCGAAGCTGGCCGCAATTATGGAAAGGTGCATCCAGGAACGTCCATAGTGTGAATATGCCGCTGAAAATTGTTCTTTTCGATGGCATGCATACCTGCGTAAGGTGTGCACCCGGCCGCCTCTTCCCCTCCAGCTCCAATGTGGCAACCACTTTAGGAAAGCTCACCTGAGTCATAACTGATGAGTTAGATAAGGAAGAAACTCAGGTGAAGGAGCGGAACTGCCAACTTAAAAGATAAAACCAAAAGAACAAAAACTCGCTTGATGGTACTCGAGTTCCTGTATTACAGTGGCTTACATGAAGGCGGCAATGTGTCCATATTTGCTGCCGATGCCTCTCTCTCATCAAGGAAGAGAACACCTCGCAGCGACTTACATGAGAGGTTCGACATTCCCAGGCCATGTATCTGAATGGTAATCCACAAGTAACTTTTAATAAACAGGTCATAAGTTTGAATCCTGATGAAATCAGATGTGCACCTAGGCTACCAGCTGGGCCGCCCGGGTCCCGGGTGGCCAGCCCGTGCAAGGACCAGAGAAGGTCCCAGCCAAAAAAAAAAAAAAAAAAAGAAATCGAAAAAATCCGAAAAAAAAAACTACGTTATGCAGAAAAATAAACTGAACAATCTTTACCTCAGGGTCACATCGAAATTCTTTACTAAATTTAAAATATAAAAAACAAACAATTTGTCAATTTTTATTTTTTATTTTTTTTGGCCCGGCCGGGCAAGTGACCCCGGGCCACTCTGGTGGCCTAGATGTGCACAGAAAAAAAAAACAAAAACAAATAAAGACGAAAGAAAGAAAGAAAGAAAGAAAGAAAGAAAGAAAGAAAGAAAGAAAGAAAAAACAGCTTCTACATCAGACTACATGTGAAAAAAAGCGGCTTCGACATGTTCAATGTTCCTCTATTTATTCACGCATTACAAGTAAAGGACAAAGCAGCTTACTCATCTTGGTTGCTGTCCGTACATTCTCACAAATAAAGCAAACACATCTTACGCATATATTCATTACAAGGAAACTCTTGTCTGCACCTTTATCCTCGAGCAACATCAAGCGCATAAGACGGAGGGGTAGCAAACCCATGGGGGCCATCACACCACCAGAAACGTAACACGTTCATTACCGAATTTACCGAAGCAAAATGCCGTGTTGGCGCCTCTCTCGTCAAGGGCGGGCCCTGGGGGGGAGGGGGGGGGAACATAGTATCACAGCAACTTTTTTTTACTCTTTTNGGGGGGGAGGGGGGGGGAACATAGTATCACAGCAACTTTTTTTTACTCTTTTTCTTGTCCTTTTCTCACAGCAACTTACACATGATAACTTCAACAACATGTTTAATGTTCATCTATCTATTGATTCTATTCATTTCAAGAATAAGAGAGAACGGCGTCCTCATCTTGGTATCCACACAAAAAGTACAACCGAGGGAAGTGCTGCCCTCACTTTCTGACAAAGAAAGCACACACATAACAAGTGTGCCTTATCTATTGATTCTACTCTTTACGAGCAGTCTGTTCAACTCTATTGTTGACATCATCTTTATTCTAAATGAATCTGAAAGGCTGCGTGCCTTCCGCATCCTGTGTTTTTTTGCATCCATGCCTGCGTCGTCATGTCCCTCCCTCCCTCCTCGGAAATGTGGGCCCATGTCGCATCATTGCACAAAGGTGCCGCTTCCAGCGGCAGCCGGAGTGAAGACACATGGCTTAACTGCCCCGTGGGCGCAGCTGCGGCAGGTCGGCTTGCTCATTCCAAAAGAGACTGAACAGCTCAACCGAAGAAAAGCAACCCTGGGGGGCATCACCACCACCAGAAAAACGGACCTCAAGAAATAACGTCTGCCCCTGCCATCAAGTATACATAGGGTACACGATAACAGGACCCTGATTTGAAATGAACCCCAGAAAATAAGATCTGCCATCCAGTATATAGTACATGCATATCATAATAGAGAAGTGCCCGGTAAACCGAATAAACTGACACGATCAATTCACGCGATGCTCACACGAGACAAGCAACACAATACAGTCTTCATCTAGGACAAAGCTGCCCGGTGAACCATAGGCAGAAAGGGGAGAAAAGGACAAAGCATGGGGGGCTTCGACAGGCTATTTCGTTGGAGATTCACCGACTCATCAGGAGGCTGAACAGATACATTATGATAGGAATGATCCCCAGATATGACACCTGCCATTACGTATATATTGGAATACGCTCATAGGACCGATGGGCTGCTCAGTTGTTACACCCATGAGCTGTTGACCTACAGACTCAAGTTTGAATCCAGATGCAATCAGATGAAGAGAAACATAATCTTGAACCAGTTCAAGAATGATATCTCAAGCCCTTCGCCCTTGTAAAAGAAAAAGGGACAGGATAAAAGGAGCCTGAAATGAAGACACTAATGCCAGACTTATAGCCACAACACAGTTACAGCCGTACCATCAAGTTACTCGCCAAACTAAAATCGCTAACGACTCGTAAGGAGTAAGTTACGAAACCAAATACGTGCAATCAGACTCGCTTTCTTTTTGACTTCGCACTCATGCAAACAGATGGCAAATCACACTGACGCACAGCGCCCACTCAAAACTCAAAGATATGGAAGTCGAACACACAGTTCAGATACAAACTCGCTTCAACAGGCAATGGCGCATCAGCGCCTGTACATCCCAACTCTCGTCTCTCTGTCCAACACCACTGTTCGCACTCACTCAACTCTGGATCACCCTGGATATCACACGCGCATACACACACTCTCGTACTCACACACTCGCCTATCAGCTATGGCGGCTATGGCCGCTGTCCCATTATGGCTATGGCTAACTATCTCCTTCAACCCACTTCGTCTTCGGGCACTCTGCAGACCACCTCGCACAAGTCGCTCAGGCAGCGCTTCCGCATGGCTTATGCAGGAATGAATGAATGGCTGGACGCTGCCTCTTGATTTATACTTCTGGAAGTCGCTGGTCTGCCTCTTTCCACCGGGCCCATGGTGCACACCGTCCCACATGGTACTTGCTGACTGGACTAAGTGGGACTGGGACTGGGTACTGCTGACTCAACATGGGTGGACTCACCACTTGCCCACTTGCCTCTGGCCAAACGTAAGAATTGTCGAAAGGCCACTTCCGGAAGTCCGTGACTTGGCCTTTCGGAACTGTAGCAGCTACGACCTTGACCTTTCAGGACTGTAGCAGCTACGACTTTGACCTTTCAGGAAGCCTACGGCTACGGCTTCTAGAACAGCTACGATCCCTACTCTATAGACCTACAGATCGAGCCCCTACAACTACACATCCCTACGACAGACAAAAACCCAAACTATCAAGACACAGGTTAAGGGTTCAATACTCAGGGGACAACAAGATACTGTACACAGGCAAAGTAAGGTCTAGGGATCGAGCCCTGGGATCTGCATCCGCTACTGCGAAGGTGAAAACCGTTTCATACGATAAGTATTGATAGTAATTTGATACTAATTGGACAGTCTAGTAGCTGGTTCCCTCCAAAGTTTCCCTCAGGATAGCTGGAGCTGTTAAACAGTTTTATATATAAACGAAAAAAGATAAGTATTGATAAATTAATAAAAATATATTATATTAATAATTTACTATATATAAAAAAAAGATAAGTATTGATAAAATGTTAAAAACCCCTAAAACAGGGTTGCATACCTGCCGACCGCCGACCCCGACCACTCACCGTATTGCAGCCGCCAGTAGGGCCGACCAGGCGGCGGTCTGTCGACCAGTCAGAAAACAACCATCCACTGATTTTTTTTCAAATCTGAGTTGGGGGCTGTACTACGCTTGCTGAGTACAGCCCAATCCGCTGAGAAACTTTTGGGGATGGGGAGGTGTGTGAAAGGCCTTCCACGATTCAGACCCCAAATTCGGACTTCAGGGTCAGATGCCCAGGTCAAGGAAAGGCCGAGTTCGTCAAATTCAGAAAAGTCACAATCGGGTACCTCAGCAGTCTGGTCCAACAGGCACCCAGCAAACAGTCACGTCTCAGGGACAAGAGTCACGTCTCATAATAAAAAACATTTAGAAGAGTCACATCCCACGAGTGAAAAGGCAGATTCGCCAAGCAAGAGTCATGTCTCAAAGGTAGGAGTCACGTTTCCTAATGAAAAGTCATATTGAATAGACACATCCCACGAGTAAAACGTAGAATCACAGGCAAAGGTCGTGAACCACAGGCAGGAATCACTGTTCACAGTCAAAAGTCATGTTCACAAGTGAAAAGTCATGACTCAAAGGCCCAAGCAGCAGCAGTCCAATGGAAATTCGGGAAGGTTCCAGGCCTTGACATTCAGTAGCAGACAGGCCGTGGGGATGTGGTACCGGAACCAGTCAGGACCCAAGAAACAGAGTCTGGCACGAGTTGAAGTGCAAACCAAGACTACAAAAGGACTGGCCAGCCTCACATTCACGCAGATTGCTCATTCGCAAAGAGTGTGGAAGTGCTGGTGCACTTGTGCGCTATTGTGAGGGGCAGAGCGCTGAAGCCAGAGTGCTGCGCAAAGAGGGAGAGAGAGAGCGGAAGACAGCGCTGGCAGAGAGAAGGCAGCCATAGCTGCGCCAGCACAGGGTGTTAGTGTTAGTATTTAGTAGTAGTCTTCAGAGAGTTAGTAGAGTTAACAGTGGGTGTATTCAGAGTAGATCTTTGAAGGGTAGAAGTCAGTGTGAGTGTGCATGCATGTAGGGAGAGAAGATACAGCGAGATCAGGAGCTAGGGAGAAGACCAGCAAGGAGGGGTGATACAACTAAGAGAGAGAAGAGCAGGGAGGAAGACGAAACTTACCTGGGTGATCATGTTGGACGATTGGATACCTATGACATGCGCTGATGTGCGCTGGTGACTCGGAACTCTTATTGCTCTTGTATAACTTGTTGGAATTCATAAGCTGTGTTATCTGGTCTTAATCTCTCTGGTTTTCAGTGTGAACTCCGTGTGATCTCATATATGCATGAAGTGCGAATATGTGCATTCACTGGTGTTGAACTAGAAGGTTCATTGCATGCATGGGAGGGTTGGAGGGGGGGTATAGGGGAGGCATAGAGGTGGTATAGGGGGTATTGAGGGGGGTAATGAGGATTTTGGGGGCGGTTTGGGGGTGTTGGGGGTGTTGGGGGCCGTTATGGGGGTGTTGGTGGGTCTTTTCTTTTTTTTTTTTGACCCTTTTTTTCCAGGGTGCCGATAACCCCCGACCGGTAGGTGCCGACCAGCCGACCGGTCGCTGGGTCGGCAGCCGACCAGTCAAGGGCCGCTGACCGTCGGGGTATGCAACAATGCCCTAAACCAAAAAAAAAAAAACTAGAACAGGATGGCAGCAGGAAGTATGAAAAAACTTTTTTTTTTCTTTTTTTTTTTTTTCAATGAAAGCATGGTTGCATCCCTGCCGACCGCCGACCCTGACTGCCGACCGTATTGCAGCCGACCAGTAGGGCCGACCGGTCGGCAGTCTGCCAACCAGTCAGAAAACAACCATCCACTAATTTTTTTTCAGATCTGAGTTGGAAGCTGTACTGCGCTTGCTGAGTACAGCCCAAATCCGCTGAGAAATTTTTGGGGA